TCAAGGCATCAGGGCACCTTGGGGACCATCCATTCACAGCCAAAGGGCTTGACCGATTGACAGCTCTAGATAGCTGTGCACAAGGGAATGATACGTTAGCTGCCAATCAGTGGGGATGGCCCATTCTCAACAGTTGTGTTTGGTTAAAGCAGCAAAGGGTGCTTACAGTTAATAACTAATGAAAAGTGATACAAAGCTATGAGTAGTGCTTTATCTCTAGACAGCCCTGGGAGAGTTTGTCCTGATCATCTCACTCCCGGTGAAAACCAAACCCTAGCATTATCTAATCCTATTAAGGTGTGGATTTTTGGGGGGGGTTGTTTAGTTTTGGGGGGCCTTTTCTTCTGTATTGTGTCGTGTGGAGGTATGGAATTTGTAACTGGGCTTTGTAGCTACTCCTGCCATTTGTGAAACCTCATTTTTTTTAATTTCAGCTGTAAATTTTAATCTTTCAGTAATGTAGTTAGATGTAGACATGATGTTACACTTGCATTTCCTACACAATCTTCTCCCTATGTATAGTTTTTAGTTTAGCTTTTTTTCATACGCCAAAATACAGGAGGGGTGCTTTGGTGTCTGAGGATGTATGGCTTGGGAGTTTTATATTTCTGGTTCTTTCTTTCTCCCCACATTAAGTGATTTTCTTAGACCTGTAGGTATGTAGTTACTTATGGAAGCCTATTGATCTAACAGCAAGGAGCAGAATCTGTGATGCCTGTTCCCTGGACAAGTCTACCTTCTGTGTGTTCCCTAGAGAGTCTCCCTCTGAGGAACATTATTGTGAACAAATAAGTACATTAGGTCATGTCACACTGCATGTGTCTTATTTATTTGTACTGACTCCAGTCATTGGAAGATATAAGTTCTGGAGTTTCTCAGTTCACTGCTACATATACTTAGTACACATAGTGCAACCTTACAATGGCCAATGCGTCACCAGGTAACAGCAATTTTTCATCTCTCTAATGTCATGGAGCCAGTATAGTATATGTAGTCTGCAGTTACAAATTCATCAGTACAGAGCGATGGGTGCCAGTTTCAGTCTGTGCTGTTGACTCCTGAGATGCAGAAGCTGTGAATTTCCTGTGTGTGCTTGTTTTGTTTGTGTTTATGTTTTCAGACAGGGTTTCTCTGTGTAACAGTCCTGGCTGACCTGGATTTCAGAAAATACTGGCCTCAAAAAATACAGAGATCTACCTGCCTCTGCCTCATGAGTGCTGGAATTAAAGGCATATGTCACCACACCCAGCCTCTGTGTGTGTTTTATAACATATATCCGGCATTAAAAGTAAACTCTAGTGTTGATGGCAGACACACCAAACACAGAAAGACTTCAGGGATTAATTTGTATCTGTTTATCCACCATCAGTTCTGATAATATCTGTACCTGCAACTGTATTCACTTTCTTCCAAACTAAACACATGTGTGTGTCATTGTGTGTATTTTTCTGAAATAAAATTCACTATTCACTCTCTGTCTGTCCAATACCAATGTGTCCAGCTCTACCATCATGTTCCCAGGAAAGGCATTCCTATTTTCTTTGCAGGTTTTTTGTTTGTTTGTTTTAAGTCCGCAGAATAACAGATTGCCTATTTTGTCTGTTTAACAAACTGTAAGTTACAGTTGTTTCTTGTGACCTGATATATAACAGACATAAATGTTTGTTGAATGCACACCTTGCTTTTGCACAGAGAGACATTTAATGCTCTCTCAACAGCTCTCTGAAATCTGTCAGCAAACGGTTAGGTAGATGCCATGGTTTGGATGTGTGTGTCTCTTAAAATTCAGCTGTTAACCACTGTGACATCTTCAAGGTTGAGGCCTTGGTTTTGGAGATGCCATTTAGAGAAAGGTTGTGTACCTAGCTTGTAAGAGGCCTTGACTTACATCCTAATGCAATAAATGAAACAACCCTCCACCCCCCCAAAAAAGAAGGAAGGTAGTTCCTTAAAAGGAGAAATGAAGACCAGAGGGTTTCTCCTGCTGGGTGAAAAACGTACCCTTTGTAAAGGCTTTGTTTCTGTTGTGGGCTTTGCATGTACTAGGTAGCTGAAAAGGGTTTGATGTAGGCCTTGTCTCTTGCCCTTCTGCCCTGTGAGGAAGCAGGAGGAGGGCTCTCTCAGTTTAGGCATGTTGACATGAATGTCCCAGCCTCCAGAACCAAGAAAGAAATTTTGTTCTTTATAAGTAACTGATTCTTAATTTGTTGTAGCAACACCAGGCACTAAGATGATAATGGCCTTTCCTATAGATTTAGGGGGCAAAGGGAATAGGAAAATGAGGTCAGGAAAGAGGACTTCTGACACATCACAATTTTACTGTGGTCTAGCTAGGGGTTCTGTGGTGATGGCATGAGTCGTTCTTTTATTGTGCACCAGAATGTGATAATTCTCATATTATTTGTTTTGCTACATGAATTTGCTTGATATTCCTGACAGCATCTCATAATTGCTAATATTCCAGAGTTTTTCTTTTCAATTTTTTATAAAATTTTTTGTATGTGTCTTACCTACTTATATGTCCATGTACTGCTTGTGTGCAGTACCTTAGGAGGCCAGAGAGGGCGCTGCATCGCTGGGAACTGGAGTTACTGATGCTTATTAGGTGCCATGTAGGTGGTGGAAACCAAACCTGGGTCCTCTGGAAGATCAGTCAGCCCTCACAAGCACCTAGTCATCTCTCCAGCCCCTGTTTAGTTTTTTCAGTATGGAATATGCCTTCCAAAAGAAGAGAACAGCAGATTGGAGATACATATCAGAGCACAAGCTGTTGCCTACTGCCACAGAGGCAGACTAGAACCCTACTGGTCCAGAAGCCCTGAGTGTGTCCCTGGTGGCTTGTGTTCTCCTCTCTCTTCAGAATTATGTATGTTAAGTAAGTCATTCCTTTGTTTTCTGGCATGCACAAGGCTCTGTGTTTGGTTTCTAGTATAACCACAAAAGCAACACAAACAAAAACTGCAGGAAGTGGAGTCATCCACATGCACCCTCTGTGACATGCTCCTTCTCTATGGCTTTTGGTGCTAAAGTCAGAACCCAGAGCATCATGAATGGTCGGCTAATGTTCTGTCACTGCCCTTTAAATTGATTGATGGGCTGATTGATTGATTGACTGATTGATTTCAGACAGTTTCCCACTAAGCTGGTCAAGCTGGCCTTGAACTTTCAATCCTCTCACCTCAGCTTCCCAAGCAGCTGTGATGGCAGGGGTATACCCCCATGCCCACCAAGATCTGTGCAGGACTGTTGCTGAGATTCACTCAATGTACTTTGTTTCCACTGATAAGTTTCACTGCATAGACATACCGCAGCTGTCACCTTGTGGACATTGGATTGTTTTCAGGTTTTTGCTATTACTAGCAATGCTGCTTTAAATATTCCTTTCAAAATCTTTATTAGCATATATTAATTATCAATAATTGATTTCACTGCCATGTTTTCATATATGTACATTCTGTATTTTGATCATATTCACATTCCCCATTACCCTTTCTTATTCCTCTTCCCAGCTAGTGCATGTGTGCATGCATGCGTGCGGGCATGAGTGTGTGTGTATGTTGGTGTCTGTTTGGGTTCATCACCGCACAGGACATACACAAGGCTACTATAGCAGCTCTGGCTACTCATTAGAACTAGATGATGAAGACACCACACAGTGAATCGGGCTGTGCATCTGATTGTAAACTTTTTAGCCATGAGAATTCCTTTAACATTTTTACCGTCTGTGTGGTGGGTTGAGGTGGGGAGCGCACATATCCTATGGCGTGGGTGTGGCAGTCAGAGAATAACTTGCTGGAGTCAGGTCTGTACCTATGGGTCCTGGGCACTGAACTCGGGTCTTTGGGCTTGGTGTCAGGTGCCTTTCCCTGCGGAGTCTTCCTGGAGACCCCATGAGAATTCTTCATACATTCCAGAGACTAATTGTGTTGTAGGCATCTTCTTGGTCACTAATTGGGCAGAGGAGGTGAGGAAGAAGTGGTAATGTGCCTTTCTCCTTTGCGGAACTGAGTGGATGGTGGTGCAATTAAACAAGTCTGTGAAATACTCGGGGCTAGGAGAGAAATGAATGGATTGCAGGTTTTCCTGTGCAGTACTCTGACAGAGATGTCTTGGATCTAGGAGTCTGTTCTGGTTCCCTCTCTGTTGCTGTGCTCAACACCAAAAGCAACTTCAGGGAGGAAAGGGTTTACTTAAGCCCTTGTTTCCAAGCAATGGTCTATCACCAAGGGAAGCCAGGAGAGGAAGCTGGAACAGAAACACGGGGGAGGCAGCTTACTGGCGTGCACTCTGGTTTGCTTCCCCTGGCTCATGCTCAGCTAGTTGTCTTATGCAACAGAGGCCCACCTGCTCAGGGTGACACTACTCTGAGTAGGCTGAGCCCGCCCACATCAAGTGTCAGTCAAGACACCCTCAGACATGGCCATAGGCCAGTCTGATCTACACATTCCCTCCAGGGAGACACCCTTCTTCCCAGATGACTCAGTTGTGTGGAGTTGACAATAAAAACTAACCAGGATGGGGTTCATGCCCATATCATTCTCATGCCTTGCCAGTTATATAGGAATCTTGCATGATGGGCCTTGAGGAGGCTAAACTTAGGAGGAGTACGGTAATTATGATACATTTGTCCTCCACCCACCCCCACCCCAACTTCCTGTCCAAGCTCTGAAATCACTCTCAGTCAAAGACCCACAGGACATCTCATATTAGTTATTAATATTTTATTACCTTTTGTTCTCTTAATATTTTCAGTACAGTAAGTACTACAGTACATTATTTTTATTTTGAAAACTATCCAACACCTTTTGTGCTGTATAACATTGAAAACCACTTGTCTATATAAACATCTCTAATTCCTCATTGATGTACTTAATTACACAAGTTCTTTCATACACAATGAAAATGGTACAAAACATACATCTAGGAACTCTACTTTGTACAGTAGCTCATTAAATAATACTTATACATACATTTCCATACATTTCTAGCTTCCTATAAGTACTCTGAGTTATGAAGTTTCCTTGGGAAGGTAGCTGTAAGCCATGAAGTAAAGTTTGTCCGTAGGAGCAGGCAGGTGGTAGTCTTATTGCGACTGTATTTGAAATTAAAGAACCCAGGTAACTCAGAACTGGACAGATCTGCTAACACACTTTAAGGTGGGGAGGGTGAGGAGCAGGTAGAGCTTGGCACAAGGCTAAAAGTGTAGCACCTCAGCGTAGCTTATATAGTACAGCGCCAGGAGAAACATTGCAGCTGTCTGTATGAGAACTCAGGACCAGCTCTTAGTAGAGTTGGGGACTCTTGTCACTGGAGTTACTGTTGTCTCAGGACGAGGAGCTGCCCATCGTCCTGGAGAATAGTGACCTGATGTCACTAGGGATAGCAGCTGATGTGACCATGGCTGGTCACCTTTCAGGGGAACCAGGGACAATTAGGAGTAGCCATAGGCCGACGTATAAAGAAGTGATGGAGAGACGGGCTTTCCGCTGCCTGTCCGTCGGCTACAGCACTGCGGTGATCGGCTTCTCTCTGGTTAAGAGGCTCTTTTAGACCTGAGGGAAGAAGACAGCATTTTGAGTGGCCTGGACTCTGGCTTCAGTCTGGGAACCCAAAGACCCTTGGGAAAAAAGCTTGGTGGGCCTCCCTCTGCTACGTGGTCACCATGGTTCACAGCGGCTGTTGTTTTTAGTGAGGAAATGGGGAAAGTTGGACAGCTTTACCTGGACAGTTGTGACTGCCCAAAGACTGAAATAACTCCCTGTCACTCCTAGATATTAGGAATTGATGGCCTGAGGTGGCACCTCAGTGTCAGTGTAAATGGAGGTGGGAAGGGCATGGTGGTGACATGTGGTGACATGATCCCACAGCAAAGCCAATGCGGATGTTACTTCCTGAGACTGCCATTTCCCCAAAGAGCACCAGCAAACCCACCTTCTTTGGCTAACTGCTTTCAATAAACTCTTGATGGCCTCAGACTCTGGATTCAGACATCTCTTCTCTTCAGTCTTTTTCATTGTGACACTGTCAAAACAAGCAGCGAGACAGGTAGATGAACATCAGGCCCGCATCAGAATCCAACTTCCATTCATTCGACACCACAGAGCCTTTGCTGGTCTTTCCCGATATGATCATCACACATTTAACATGTGGTTACATACGGGAAGTTAGCAGCAGGTGGGGGTTCACTCACATGATCTCAACACGTGGGCAGGATTGACTTGCAGGAATAATTTCCAGTTTTCCCAAGGCCCTCGGTTTTACCGGTCGGTCATCGATTTTGATGCAGGAGCAGCGGACTGTCCTTGAAAGAGGGATTCCTGCAGGAAGAGAGCGGCCGAACAGGGAAGGTTAGCCTACTGTTTCATTTTAGGCACTCAATACAGGTGAGGTAGTGGCTGGCAGAATCTGTCCCCATATTGTCACTTAATCTGAGAAGAGATGTAGCCCACCGTGTCATAGGTCTGAGTGGTTAAGTAGCTTATTATCCTGAAGAAGGGAGCCGCATGCAACTTTTAATGAAGAAATCATGGCTTACCTATAGATCACATTATGAATCAGGCTTAGGTAGGGAGGCATCTGTCTTACCCCTCTCTCTATCCCCATCTCTCCCCTGTCTCTCCCCATTCCCTCACAGTTCTTTCTTCCCTGTCTCTCCCTTTCCTCCCTTTCTTCCCTTCTTCATTCCCTTTCTCTTATTCTAGTTTTCTCTGACTTCAACCAGCATGAGATAAATTGAGTCCAGTCGTCTTCCTGACTGGGTAACTAAATAGCCCTGGTGTTCCTTACCTTGAGTCCCACTCAGACTCAGCAGGATGAGGCAGAAAAGGAGGATAGCACTGGCATTCATGGTGCTGACAGTGGAGTCTTCTCGTTGGCTGGCTCGGGACGGATGTCAACTGTGGATGAATGGCCAGTGAAGTGCTGGGGTACTGTGCGCTATTTATCTGCAGGGTTTCCCTCCCTGACTCTTGATTGGATGGCTTTGGAGTTGGCTCAGCAAGACTTCAATATCCTTTAAGGGAAGTCCCCTGTTGCAAAACTGAGGTTATTTGTGTTTATTGTGAGTTCTGAGTTTGGAATTTCCCTCTGTGCTCCTTTTAATTTTTAACAAGTGAGCGAGTGAGTTAGGTTTCACTTTCCAAAGCATGAGCTGTTTGAGAAAGCAGCTGGAAGTGCACTGTGGAATAAGTTTGAAGATGTAAATCTGACCTTTCCCCTCTTGTAAAACAGAGAGCTAATATTTAAGTCAAGTCCCAAACACACTTTTGATTTTTGTTGCCTTTTCATTATTTACTTTTGCTTTTTTTTGAGAAATTTATCTTATAAACTTTATCATAAAAAACTTGCAAGAAATAAAAGAATCCCACACCAGATTTTTTCATTAATTAACCAGATCTGAAGTCTATACAACTTAACGAACTTCTGTGCCGTTAGAAGAGGCATTCAGAACAGAAGTGGTGGAACGTCACATCGTCTCACATCGAGGGCAGGTGACAGTCACGAGTGACTAAAGAGGATGTAAGCTAATCTTTGTTCTGGTTTTCATCCCGTCATGGATTTCTTGATTGTTTTCTTAGCGAGTGTGTGGCAATGGGGGGTCAAGAACGAAAGAGACAGCCGCTGGATGCTGGTATCACTCTGCAGAGCAACCACTGAGACGGCAGATACTTAGAACCTACAAGACTACTGTGAGGTCTTTCACAGAGGCTGCCGTGATGCTGGGACAGGTCAGGGCATGGCGGTGCTTTGTCCTGGGACAGGGCCATTGAACCTGGAGTCCTGGCTCACAACTGCACTGGATGCCAAGCATGAATCCTGTGTCTGCAGACGGGACCTGCAGAACAGGAACTCTGTCTACTGCCAGAACAGGACGTGAGTTGCTGTTTGGGACAGATGGAAATTTCTAGAGTGCTAAATCCTAGGTTGGTGTAGTTCAAGGACTAGAACAGAGCTAAGCTCTCATGCGAGCAAGTCGGACAGCTGTGGGACTCTGGAAGGACAGAAGGGAGGGGAGTGAGGCCAGGGTTGACAGAAGCCAACAGACTTTGGTGTGGCAAACGTCTCAGGAGGGGATGGCTCCTGTTCAAGGGTGCCATGAGGAGCCCCTCCATACCTGCTTCTTCAGAATAGAAACTGCACTGTCGGAATGTCAGAATTTTAGAGTGGACTCTGAATGGGCGGGGTACTGACCTGGGTTACATTAAACAATAAAGAAGATATGTGGTGACAGTTTTATTGTACTAATAGTCATTTATTAAGAAGAAAATGTTTTAGTAAGAAATAGGTAGCATTAAGTATCTGTTAGTCACTCACGAGCTTTTACTCATTGAACCCCTTTAAGAACCTAGGACTGCCTGGCATTGGTGGTGCACGCCCTTAATCCCAGCACTCGGGAGGCAGAGGCAGGTGGATCTCTGTGAGTTCGGGGCCAGCCTGGTCTACAGAGGGAGTCCCAGGACAGCCTCCAAAACAATACAGAGAAACCGTGTCTCAAAAACAAACAAACAAAAAGAACCCAGGATCCCCATCTCAGGAGCCCACAGCCTCAAACGTTTGGCTACAAAGAGCAAATTTCCCAAAGAACAAATTTGGTGATTGATGTTCCTGATTTCCCTTAGGTCTCTTTCACTTGGCTGAAGTCATCTGTAAGGTTATTTTGGAGTTTCTGAAACTAAACATCTAGGAAACATTTAATTTAGATTTATTTTACACCAAATTTCACGCTAAAATGAAAATTAGTATATATACATTGCATGTATGTGTTACCCAATAAGAGACACATGGTAGGCATGCACTTGTATTTTTTTTTTCAGTTTAAATTTAGATAAGAAACAAGGTTGCTTCACAAGTCAGTTCCAGGTCCCTCTCCCTTTCCCTCCCCTCCTCCCGTGGCACTTGTATTTTTAAGTGGCCCTCTTGACTAAAACAGACATTTTGCACTGAATTCTGACACAGATTATGTGCAAGTGTGGCACGTATATCATGGAATTTTTTGTGGCTAGGGGAAAAACATGTATTTCTTCCTATATATTGAAATCTAAAATAAAAAACAAAACCAACTATAAAGTTAATGTCAAATGACCAAAATAAAGGTCATTTGGAAGTTTCTAGGAGAACATAGGATGTCAGAAATGCTTTGAAGACACCTGAAGGAAAGGTCAGCCTCCGATGAGCCTCAAGAGTGGGATGTATTTACAGGATGTTCATGGTGGCGCACACATTTTATTCCAGCACTCAGGAGGCAGAGGCAGGTGGATCTCTGTGAGTTCAATGTCAGCCTGGTCTACATAGTAAGTTCCAGGACAGCCAGGGTTACACAGAGAAACCCTGTCTTCAAAACAAAACAAAACAGAGTGAGGTGGATTTACAGGATGTTTATGGTGGTGCACACCTTTAATCCCAGCATTTGGGAGGCGGAGGTAGGTGCATCTTTCTGAGTTCAAGGCCAGCCTGGCCTACTGAGTTCTAGGACAGCCAGGACTATGTAGATAGCCCATCTCAAAGAAAACCAAAAGCGAGATGTACTTAAATGGCCAGGAGGGGAAACATATGCAAGTATAGTATATATGTGCCACCAAACACAAATACAGAGGACGCCAGTCAGGAAGGCCGGTGAGTGACATGAGGCATCCATCCCTTGTTCCAGCCTGGCATTCAGTTTTGCAGGTTTGGAACGCTCACTGTCCCCAGTTATCCTCAGCATGCTCTTGGAGAGCTAACTATGCCAAACAAATTTGATGATTGTAAGACACAAATTATTTTTGTTGTTGTTGTTACTATTTGGTTTTTCAAGACAGGGTTTCTCTGTGTAGCCCTGGCTGTCCTGGAACTCACTCTGTAGACCAGGCTGGCTTCAAACAAAGAGATCTGACTGCCTCTGCATCCCAGTGCAGGGATTAAAGGCTACCATACCCACTCTAAGATGCAAATTTAAAAGTTTATTCCTTGCTGGTGTGGGTCTTCCCGTGACTGGGACGGCTGGTTGAGATACATATCCAGGCCACACCTGTTCTAGGATCAGGATGCCTTGGAATGTGAATTCGGAATCTGTGTCCCGCTTGGCCAGAAGAGAAGCAAAACAAAGATTCCTTCCTCTGCATGGGAACCTGCTCCCAGCATAAACCCCATGCACGTGACCCACATGGGAAATCATTCAAGAACAGCTACAGTTTGTGCATAGCAAACCTGCCATGAACGTTCCAGTCACTGCCAACCTGCATTGGGGATTTGCATGAAAGAAAAAAAAAGGGAAAGGGATAACTTTTAAATTTTATTTTTCTTTCAAAAATTTTGGTACATCTACTAGAATTCACTGTTTGGGGCTCACTTTGGATGAAAGTGGATTAAAGAACTTGGTTTCAGTTTTCACTTCTTTGCTTCATCTCCTCCGCCAGACCAGAGAAGTAAAACACAACAGAACAGCCTGCCCTTAAATGTTTGTGAACGCAGACCCAAAGAGCAGGGCTTTCTGAGAAATGAAAGCCCTTAGGAGAAGCACAGAGCCAGCGTCTGTAGACCGGGATTCCCCTCGGTACTGCAGGACACTGCTCTGGCTCCGTGTCTGCAGAGACACCGACCTTGTCAGCAGAGTTTTGACTTGGCACTCAGGGTGGGGCGGGGGAGGGGGAGACACTGCTCACATGCTTCCTGGTGACACAGTTGTCTCTTCATTCACTGGCAGCCTGAGCCCGGGACAAAGGAAGTGCTGACAAAGGCGGAACAGATACAGTCATGCTTGGGAAGGCTGAGGGTGGCTTCTGTGTGGCTCATTCCCTGTCATGTATTGGATATCCTGCATACCAGATATTTACATTACAATTTATAACAGTATCAAAATGACAGTTACAAAGTAGCAATGAGATAATGTTATGGTTGCAGCTCACCACAATAGGAACTGCATTAAAGGGTCACCACATTAGGAAGGTTGAGAAACAGTTTTTCTTTTTCTTTTTTTGGTTTTTCAAGACAGGATTTCTCTGTGTGGCCCTGGCTCTCCTGGAACTCTATCTGTAAACCCGGTTGGCCTTGAACTCAAAGATCCACCTGAGTGCTGGGATTAAAGGTGTAGGCCACCACCACCCAGCTTTGAGAACCACGCTTTAGACCATGCAGTGATTAGGTTTTCTTTTGGTGCTAGGGATGCAAACTAGACCCATGGACATGCTAGGCAGGTGCTCTACCTCTGAGCTAGGTCATATCCCCAGCTCTGCCTGCATCTCCCCACCCCCAAGGTGGAAAATCCTTGGATGATACAGTTACCAGGGTAGACATGTGTTTGCCTTTCTGCAGAGAGAGTTACAAGCTGTAGAGATGCCAGCACAGTGGACCTCACTTCTGTAGCATTTCCTCATAGGAAAGGGCTTATACTGGTAAAGTCAGAATACCTACAGGATAAATAATAGCACACAGTGAATGTACAAAGCAAGGGTACCCCTTTCAGTGTACTGCAGGTCCTACCCTGAAAGTTGAACAAAGGGGGACAGGAAGACAAAATCTTAACAGATGGTAAAATCGCACAGAAAACTCAAAAGCAATACATTTAGAAAACGTCTAGTCAGAGATGACTAGAAGGTGGAATACTGGGGGCCATAGGCATGAGTAGCAAATACTTTTAAGATGTTACATTAAAAATAATTTACAGTAGCAACAATACTTATGATAAAGTCAACAAGCAGGGAGCAAAACTTGTTTGCACCAAGTTCAGACAAATATAAGATACTATCAACTAAAATAATATTGAGTTAAATGTCCACGATTTCCCGTTTGACAAAGTTGAGCAAGCCAAAAGTCAAATAGCATCTTGTCTGGGCATGTGTATTTACTTGAGTTGCCGTAGGGACACCATCGTGAATGCGCTTAGTGGCACTGAGCTAATGTCAAGTTCATGCTAATGTTCCAACACTGCATGAGGTATT